CAAACCACTGCAATCTCTTACCTGGAATGCTGTAATCTCTAATCTTCTCTCAAAAAGTTTCCTACTTCCACACTCAATTACCTACAATTCATGATCTTCAAAGCAGCCAGAGTAAGAGGGTTTTTTTTGTTTTGTTTTCTTTTCTTCCCCACTCCTCCCTTTAAACATAGATCAGGTTATAACAAATGGAATTTAGAATAAAACCCCTAATTTATTACCATGTCATAAAGGACCCCATGCAAACTGGCATACCCAGCAACAGAAAACAAAACAGTCAAAGTCGTCGCCATCAGGCTCAGTGTACAGCAGGTGCTCCATAATTATTCACTGAAGAATCAAATGAAACCAGCATACGTGACGGTTATTTCTGGGGAAAGGTACCTTGGCTGATTAAGACCGCTGTAACTGCCCAGGAGAGCAGTCCCCTGGGGTGAGAACCTTCCTAAGTTTCTAATGAAGGTAGCCTAATTTTATGCTTGAGGGAAAAAGTGTGCCCCCTAGAAACTGTAGAGAGGCACAATTCCAATCCAGTTCCGAAACCCACATTATTACCAACGTAAGTAAACAGTGTTCACTCCTTACCAGCTTCTTTTTCTTTCAACTGCAGAAGAGCTGGCATTGGAGGATGAAGAAAATAACAATTTTCATGCCTTTGCTTAAATTCTTCAGCAGCAACAGGATCTATACCCACAGCAAACCAGGCAACCAGCCCATCTTCTTCTTCTCTTGGGACTTCCCCAGCAAAATCAAGTAACTCTTTTTTCATTTCAAATTCTACTCCAAGGAAAATCAAGGTGATCTTCTCACGCTGAGTCAAATAATCTTTTATATCTGTGTAGTTGAGCTGACAAAGCCTGACTTCTGGCTGCTGGGAACTTTCTTTATTGCCGCCTAGAGTAACCAAGGGATTTAAGTCTGAGAAAAGGATGTAAACTGTGGCTGGATGGCTTTCTTTAGCTAGTAGCCAGTCAGAGTTATTTCTTTTTTCACTTTTCCGGTCCAGTAGTGTTCTGCTAAAATAATTTTCACATTCATCCACTTCATTGTTTAGGAACCATGGCTTCTTCCCACCTTTAGCATTAGCTAGCAAGTTAGCTACATGTCTATAACCCCAAAATTTAGCAATATCCAGTGCAGTCTGCCTTGATTTGTTGACAATGGATCTGTCGCACCTATGGATGAAGGAAAGAATAAAAATAGGAAATAAACGTTTTCTCCAGTAATTACTATAATAAAATATTTCCAGAAGCACATTATACTCGTAGCCCTTCTATTTAATGATTACATAGATTGTTTTTTCTCTTAGTATATAATTTACTAATGGGAAGGTTAAAATAAGTAATCATAAATGATGAAAACTTAGAGATAGTGGATATTTAAAATTTCTGGAGAATAAAATAAAAAAGTTTTTATGTGTTATGAGACATTAAAATTTTACAAGGCATTCTTGGTAGTCATAGTGTGTAGATTAACATTTTCTATTTGGGAGAAAAATATTAGATTAACTCATAAATTTGCTTGGCTATTAAGTATGAAAATTCCTCAATGAAAAAAGTTAAAAGCTTTTAGTTAGAAATTATGCTATGTTTTTATACAACAAAACTGGTCAGCTATTTACAAGCCCAATGATATAAATAAATATGGCTACAAGAATAATTAAAATGGAAAAATGTAACCCAGAAATTAAACCACCCACCCCCTCAGGTGGTATAGCCTAAAGTGTTTACCCCTTTTCAAGTAGAAATTGGACAACATCTGGGTGTCCATTCCTTGCAGCATACATTAAAGCAGTCCAGCCATTTTCAGAAGTTTCATTGAGAAGAGATGGGGAAAGACTGAGTGTTACTGTTAACCGGGCAAGATCTCCTTCTGCAGCTGAACAGTGAAACTGGGAAATTATTTCTTGCTTTGGACTTCTTTTTATAGAAGACATTTGTTCCTTAGAAAAAGGAAAATAGGAAAAAAAATCATTTGCAAATGCTTTTTGTATCAATGACTGAACATTATCTGAGTACTGATATAAGTAGAATACTTATGGTTTCCAAAACAAAATGTTCTTCAAAAGGTAAATAGTAGCCAACTGTCATCACAGCATACATTTCAAAATTGTTATGACTTGAGGGTTTTAAATATAATTCAACATGGGGGATGTATAAAATAATGTATAACGAGCTTTGGTAATACAGATGAGAGGGCCATATCCTTGGGAGAGGGAGTTAGGTAACAGCTTACAAAGAGGTATTTGAGGTAGACCAGAGGGTCTTCAATTTGGATTGGGAGCATGAGGCGGGTTAAAGCAGATAAAAGTAAAGGCAGAAGTTTTTAGCAGATGACAAGTAATATTCTTTTAGATTTTATGGTACCAGAAACAGGTCCCTGTTCTCAGAAAAATTATGCTCCTATAACAAATTATTCAAAAACTAAGTTTCACATGAAAACAATGTATTGCTTTACCTTGCACAATTAATTCTGCAATCTATCTGGAACTGATTTTTGTTTATGGTGTAAGGTAGTGGTCAAGATACATTTTTGTCTCATGGACTAATCCATATAACTGGGCATCATTCTTGAAACTGTCATCTTTGTCCCACTGCACTGCATTATTATCCTTGCCATAAATCACATATAAACAATATATTTTGGATCTTTTATGAGACATTGCTCTATTGGTCACTTTGTATATCCTTGAATCACAGCTTTTTAAACCTTTAACTTCCTTTGTCTGCTTTGTAGCGCTGTTGTTTCAGTAAGAAATATAGAAAATTGTTTCATACCACTAAATAAATGTTGCCTAATCACAAATTGCAAGTAGTAAGGCACAAAATGAGGGTGTGTGTGTGTGTGTGTGTGTGTGTGTGTGTGTAAATGGTTCCAATTTCAGTTGTCTATGAGCTTCTCAAAGTACTTTTTTAAGGTAAAAATTTTTTTCTATGAAATGCTACTAAGGAAAGATTTGGGCTTCTAAGTAGGCTTCTATCATTGTAAACAATAAGACATTTAGGCTAAAAAGGAAAAATCCATAAATTTTAACAGCTGTTGTCTCTTGGGTTCTGACACTACAATTTGGTCCATCAACTTTATAGTAGGAGTAGTACCAACAAAATTTAGGGGAAAAAATGGGCGAAAGAGATTACCTGTGAGTCCGTTCACCTTTCCTATTTGTATTTTTCTGCTACTTACAAACAGGTAAAAACTAAAAATAGGTGAAATATACAGGAATGCAAACATTTGGATAAAACCTAATATTGAAAATCTGTTTACAGCTAAAATTAGGAGTGTCTTCTATATTAGAAAACTTTTTTTCTTTTACTTTAGAATTTATCTGACCAGTCTATTCATATCGATATTCATACTCTAGCATAACCTGACCATTCTCTTCATCGCATCTCTTCTAAATGCTTTAAAAATATTACAAATAACAAAAGCTACAGCTTTTCCGGACTTTGCTTTGAAGCACTGCTCTACACTGACTCATGGGTAGTTTCCTTCCAAGCTGCCTTCCCCTTAAATTTATTTCCTATAAAATATTATCACAGAGGTCCTTTAGCTAGGCTTACTTTAAGCAATATTTCACTGTTTCATGTTCTGAAGTCTTGGTCACGTCCTCAACCTCCCCAAAGGCCACTCCAGATGATTGCAAAACTGTCCTCCTAAATTACAGTACCATTCAGGAGCCCTACGTGAAGCTCATGCATACAGTATTATCCAGAGAAAGTAGAAAATGTACTTTCCCCCTTAGCTTTCTCAGCAGAAAAGCCATCTAGATATAGAACCATTATTCATCCCAGAGAAGCACACCAAGTCTGAAATACAACTCTCCTGCTGGATTTCCTTTTTCATTTCTCATTGACTGGTCACCCAGAAAGTAAGGATTTGAAGGCAGGATGAGGTGACTCAGTTAGCTAAATGCTGCCCTTGCTTTCCAAGAAGAGCCTGGGCTATTCTAAGACGTCATTTAAAAGAATCTTAGGTTTAAAGGGTCTTAGATTTTATCCAAATCACCATCAACTTTTACAGATGTGTGACTCAGGGCCCACGACTTGCTCAAGATTACATGGCTCAGGCGAGACAGGGAAAACGTCAAATATGGCTCTGTCACTGCAAGTCACCAACCGTCTTTTAATGAATCCCACTTCCTTGGGCACTCAAGCTGGTCATTTAACCAAGTGCCACCCATGCACGGTGTCTTTAAAAGGGCAAATGCCTTTAGATAGTTGATTTTCTGGCCACTGGGCGAGTCCCCCTTTTTAGGTGAAACCGCACCCGAAGCATTTCCTTTTCCCCACCTCAAAGACTGAGCTGCTGACGCCGCCCGCAGCAAGGCGGCTGCGCTCCCGCCCCTCCCGGGCGTCCTAGAAGCCCCGCCGCCGCTCCCGCGCGAGCCTGCGCCACACGACCAGGCAGGGCCGGGCAGGGCAGCGCGGAGGCAACAGGTCACTGAGAACTGCTCACCGGCCCCAAACCAGGGCCGAGCACGTCGCCGACGCTGCTACTAACCAAAAGACGACCACAGGAGAGGAAACTGGGAAGTGGTCGAAAGACTGGGAGAAACCCCAAGCTCACTCTTCCGGTGCCGGATGGAAACGTTCTGACTTCCGGTGGAGGGCCGATGTTCTCGCACCGCTTTCTGGGAGATGTAGTTTGAAGGTCCCAGGCTGTGAGCGAGCAGGGAAGGGGTGGGCTTGGGGGGATGAGTGCTGGGTTAGAACGACTGGCTTCCTGCCGGTGAGTGAATGATTGGTTTTCTAACGGGTGAGACCGAGCTGTGCAGAGTGTGATGCTGGTGATGGGAAACTCTAGGTCTGCGGAAACGGTTTTAAGTTTTCCAGTATTTTGCACCCAGCCTATATAGCCCAAATGCAATGGAGTGTTCAAAACATTCTTTCATGTTAAATAAAGCTGGAGTGTGAACTGGCAAGTTATTTCAGTGCGTGACCTTAAACATGTTGTTGGCCTCTGAACCTCAGTGTCCTCATTGATACCATGTTTTGATTCCCGCCTCATTCAGTGGTCCTTTAAAAAGTACCTACCAAGTGCCCACAACACCTTGTTGGGTTGTTTAAATAGGTTTAAATGGGATAATGAATCCGAAGAAGTGCTAAGTCTAGAGCTAGTACCCACAACACAATTATTGTTGCTGTTATTATTTTCTTTACTTTCATGTTCCAATACCTACAAAACTTATGTAAGTTCGAGATTAAAAGGTAGGTGTTGGCAGTCTTCTATTGTAACTTCCAGATTTTTTCTTTACTAAACTGTCTCCTTGACTGTCATTAACAATTAAGGTTGACTGTTGCTTCCTGCCCAGATTTTAGGCAGTAAAAGCTTCCTCTCACCTTGAAGTTGTATATACCAGTCAACATTGTACTCCCATAACGGCTCTTTCTAGGTTTGTCTTATGCTTTTTTCTGTGAATAGTTGCCTTCAGTCTTTAACGATTTTAGTGATCAGACAGGGGGTCAGAAATACTAAGTTTTAGTTAACACACTTGGAATACCCAATTTTTGTATTCAAACAAACATTAAGGTAATTGGTAGTATAATGAACACTCATATATTAATCCTCTAACATAAACAATTATTAATATATAGTCATCCCAGCCCTGTAGATTCTTTTGAAGAAAATTCTAGATACCGTATTATTTTATTTATAAATATTTAAGAACAAGATTTTTGGAATTATGAGTATATATCTATAATATAAAAGTCCTTAA